CCCTAACCCTAAACCTAAACCTAAACCTAAACCTAAACCTAACCCTTACCTTTACGTGAATTGGCTTGCTTTAATTTTATTTTAATTTTAATTTAATTTATTTTTAATTTTTTTCATCGCGCTGCTGATGACGTCACGTACGCACTTTCGTCGGGCGCACTTTATTCCACCGCGGTTTTGACGGGTCACGCATGAATCCAATCTGTATGGGTATTGTTTGGGGTTCTGTGAAGCCTGAAAATTGAGTTAAATGAGGAAGCCGTGCTTCAATTAATCAAGAATAAATGTGTCCAGTGAATGTAAGCAGGCCAGAGTCCCAAGGGAGTGGGCGGCATACAAATCTTATTAAGTAAACAAACAATTAAACAAACGTAGTCATCAGCTATCAAGCTGTTTAGGCCAAGTGAAAATGCATTGTTTAAAACTGGAAGAATGCAGTGCAGAATCTTTGTTGAAGCAGCTTTAAGGGATCTTGTAAAATGGCAGTTAGAATCTTAAGAGTATTTCTGGTAAGTAAAAATCATTGGATAGTGGTTGATTGGAAATAGATCGATCTATAATCAGAAAATTCTTTTTATTTTTATAGATGAGGGGAACTGTAAGTTATAAACATCAGATTGGATAAGCAATATGTTAAGCAAGCCATAGAATTATTGATGATAATTGAGTTGAGATGCAGATGAAGCACTAAGTGGCTGGATTTCTTTACTTAGTACGAGAACCAGGTACAGGTAGTCTTCGACTTACAACGACAACTGGGCCCAAAATTTCAGTTGCTAAGCAAGACAGTTATTAAGTGAATGTATGACTCTTCTTGCCACAGGTGTTAAGTGAATCACTGCATTTGTTAAGCTAGTAATATGGTTGCTATGTGAATCTGGCTTCCCCATTGATTTTGCTTGTTGGGAGGTTGCAAAAGTGGATTGCATGACCCCGGGGACACTGCAACTAGCAATAGCAATAGCAGTTAGACTTATATACCGCTTCATAGGGCTTTCAGCCCTCTCTAAGCGGTTTACAGAGTCAGCATATCGCCCCCAACAACAACCCGGGACCTCATTTTACCCTCCTCGGAAGGATGGAAGGCTGAGTCATCCTTGAGCCGGTGGGAT